CTCTAATCCTCACGCTGCCCATTTTTCCTGCTTCTAACACATCAACTTTGAGGACAAAATGTTCACTTGCTGCCTAATATATCCCCCCCACTGACAGGAGCCCTGATAACCAGAAAGTCAGTGTGATTCACTTTACGTGTTAGTGCTCAGAATGGTATGGCTGATCGGTGTATGAGGTGTCCTCTGCCCTACTTTGAGAAAAAGACATCAGTAAATATCTGTGCATTTCCACATATGCCCCTAGGTCTGGAAAAAAACACCACAATGTCTTTCTTTTCTATATAACCACAGACATATCATTATATATATATATATATATATATATACATTGTCTCAGCAACCAGTAACAAACAGACATACACGAGTTAAAAGTGCAGTAGAAAGTGCACTCACTTACTATACTCTACTATACTGGCAGGTATATATAAATATTCAAGGACTGATGAGGAAATATTAAGATTAGTCATTTAGATGCTGATATGATACTAGCTAGGGTCATCCTCTTGAAGCTCCACTGCCAGTTAATTGAACACTAAAATATTGTTTTCACACTTAGCTAGCCTTATTTGGGCCATTACCAGCCATTACCAGCTGCTGTGAGACTCTTTGTGTCTGCGCTGGAAACACAGAGTCCACTGGAGCTTTAACAGTCACTAGAAGAACATTTACAGCTTTCTGTAAAAGTTTCTGTTTGGAACCCGTGTTGTAATGTTTGCTAAAGTGGCTTGGAGAGGCTTACTCAGGCTGAGTAGCAGGCCACAGTCTGTTGTTGAGGTGGATTTATAGGAGGGGGTTGGGAGGTTAGGATCAGCCAGTAGTGAAATTCAATTGCAGTTTGCAAGTTCGGTTTCAACCAGCAGAGTGAGGGTAGATCGAGGTCACTGTATATTTATAAGACAATATCTAGAATTCAAATACTTTGCACTAAAATGTCAAGATCTGGACCTGAATTGGTTTTCATCTGTGTTTTAGGGGTTTAATTACTCTACATGGAGGAAGACTTAGTGGTTGTTTTGGCAAACATACTTCTGGTTAACTTCTCCACCTCCAGTAAAGATTAGCACAGTTGAAACATTTCAGCTTCCAGGATTATCTCCCACACAGTGGATGAGACAGTCCCAAATGGGGGCTGGTGCTAAAATGCACAAAATAAAACCATATTTATATTTACATACAGAATGAAGTTACCTTATGTTCTTTACTAAAATATCCCTAATAAAAATATGATTAGCAAAGAAAACCATTGAACAATTTCTTGCATTTTTGCAATTCTTGCAGTTTTCATGTTTTCTAATGCACTAGCACACATTGCTCTGCCTTGTCTTATTTTTAAAAAAGAGAACACAGAAATGCAGATGCTCTGCCTCCCTCCAAGGCCCTTTTTTTCTCCAAAGCTTTGTTTTCATTTTCCCTCTTTGGTAAATGTCAACATTAAAAATTAAAAAATTGCTTTCAATATTTAAATTTAATTTTGACAATATATAGAGAAAAAAAACCCACAGAGATTATGATTATTCGGCCATGTCACACAGGTGAGAATTTAAGCCAGTCAATTCAGTTTTTAAACTGTGTGTGTTTACGTGTGTGTGTTCTGTGTGTCCACAGAGATGAGTGGAAGCTAATGAGGGACTACCTCTGCTCAAAGGGCACACTGGGTGCTAATGCTCAGCGCTGTGATAAGAGATTTGTGGGAGGGCAGAGCATATCAAAAGGAAACAGTGGACTAGCATCTTTACAGCAGCTGCAGAAAACCCTGTGCCTGTCTCTGCATATTCACATTATGATAAATATGCCTCTTACTCTACACAGTCAGCCCCAAGACTGATGTTTCTGTAAAAACAGCATATAGTTTCTATAATCTGTTACTGGATCCAGTGTCTCCCACTGTTCCCAAGTATGTATACTGGTGTTGTTTCTCCCTATGAACACTGTCATGGGTTTGTTTTCTCCAGCACAAATACCATTTCCTTTGTTTTGTTTTTTATATTTTGTATAAGGAAATTACCCTTATAGCACTAAAAGAAAACCATATCAGTCTTCCCCTGTAATTACATCCGTCCTCCTGAATTAAGCTCACTGTTGCTCATCAGCAGATTGTATTGTGATGGCTACTCCTACAGTTATTAGTGTATAGAGTGAAACAAAGTGGAAAGCAGACACAGCAGCATTCATTCTAATCCTCTGTGTCCAGTTTTTAAAGAAAGAAATAAACCACCTTTTTATCATATTAATACTATGTCAGTTTTAAATACAATATATAGTCTGATGGTGGTGAACAAACGCATTGTAAAAGATGTTAGGGCAAGGCTGGCAATCATTAGGGCCCAAGCACCGACCTATTGTAGGGAAGGAATTCTTCTTATTATTATTATTCCTCCCAAACAAATGCATATTTGCTTGCAGATTTTATGCAAATGGTGGTGTTTTCTTTTTATACTATACTATACTATTCTAAAATTATATTTAACAAAAAAGAAATCGCAATATTGCCTAGCTTACAGTTTTGCAATATATCGTAATGTATTGAATTGTAACCCCTGTATCGTCGTATGTATTTTATCGGCAGACTCTTACCAATACCCAGCTCTACTCACTCTACTTGGACTGACAATATTTTTTCATACTGTCACTGTCATTCATACTTGCACAAGCTGGATGTTTCAACCATGTATCTACTTTAAGCGAACTTTTTTAACTATTTATGCATTACTCGTGGCTATTTCTGTGTTTTTTAATTAATTAAGTTACTCCACAATCTTTTCAAGTACCCCCGGTAACTGCAAAAACAGCCCTTCTAGAAAAAAGCCAAATATGCCAATGGGGGAAGACAATTCTTGTGGGCTGGAAATCTTAAAACTAGCATAAATATCTAGCCACTGAAAGACTGTAATGGGCCATAGAAAAAATGCCAGAAATGTAAGCAAGGTGTGCTTATAACAAGCAATGAAAGCTCAGTTATTTAAGATAGAATTTGTTAAAAAAAAAGTATTTTGGTCAATTTATTGAGCTGGATTTAAGAATTTGTACCTTAATATAAGATTAATAATTAGCAGTCTTACAATAAGACATATACTTTCTTCAAACTACATAATACAAATAAGTGACTTAAATGAAAAACTAAACAGCTGCTTCATTTCCAACACTGGGACTAGATTACTTTTTCTTAAACTGAGAAGTGGTCTTACTCTTAAAAAAGAAAATAATCTTCCTCTGCTGTGCACATTATGCAAACCATTGTTGTAACTTGTTAAATTGAGCTCAATATTAGCTGTAATATCTTATTAGGACAAAGTTAGATAGATTTTATTAGAACAAGATTTCTTTTGTAATGCAAAACATGCCAGACAAGATGATTTTTCTTTTTTTAGACAAAAAGTAAGACTCATTTCCAAGAAACAAGGCGGTTTTACTTTCTGGAAATTCCTTTTTTGTAGTGTACCCTTGGTTGGGAATCACTGTTCTAATCAGTATTTGGTTGAGCAGGACGGTGGTCCAAATAAACTACAGTGTGTTCATGGTAATGAAGGAACATGTTACCCAGTGAAACAGTGGCTTATTGATGTGATTTTAATTGTTTTTGAACAGGCTTTGGATACACACACAATACTTGTTAGTAGGTGTTGGTTTGGTGGTTGTTGGTCTGCACATGGGATTGGTGACAATAAGAAAAATCTTGAGTATTAACAGACCTACCATTTGACTTGTATTCATTGATATTCAGTAAGAAATGTTGTCCATAGCTTGTATGGCATGACACATCAACACAGGACTTCATTGATCCTAACACTCTTTTAAAACAGTTTCTTTATACATATGTGTACACATCTGCCCTCCTTCAGTTTAACAGTATATAATAATAGCTCATAAACAAAGATCAGATTGATGATTACACTTCTCTCCCACTCCCAACTTCACACCCCTTTCCCTCCCGTCCTCTTTATCATTCTCTGTCCCTCGTTCACCCTCTTCTCTCTCCCACTCTTTCCTTCTCTTCTCCTATCTCTGTCCTGCAGCTGTCAGAGTTATTTGTCTCCTTTGAGGAGAAGCCTCAGGGCGCAGCTTCCTTAGCCCAGGTCCACAAGGCAGTGCTGCATGATGGGAGGACAGTGGCCGTCAAAGTCCAACACCCCAAAGTCCAGAGACAGAGCTCCAAGGACATAGTGGTGATGGAAGTAAGTCTGTTGAACTACTTTGAAATAACTAAAGAGGTGTTGGGGTTTCCCGATGGCTTCCCTGCACACAAAATGCAACTTGTGTGCAAGGCAGGAAAAAAGATATAAAAAAGGTCAGGTCAGTTTTATTTATATAGCTCAATATAAATCACATATTTGCCTTAAGGGGCCTTTCAATCTGTACATCATATTAGAGCAAATCATGGAGGGACTGTAAGCATACAGTATAGGATGAATATGGAGCAGAGTTTCTAGTTTTAGTTCAAATTCTAGTTGCAGAATTATGAACCATTTTAAGACTTTTAGCACTAGCACACAGCAGGCCTGACAAATAAGCATTACAATAATCAAATCTGGACAAAACAAAATCATGAATTAGGGTTTCTGCATCAGCCATGGACAGAAGAGACAGAATGTTTAGTAGGTGAGAAAAGGCAATTTCTTTAATGTGGTGATCATAAAAGAGAATAAGATCAAACCTAAAACCAAGATTCTTGGTTCCAAATATACATCCCAATATGCTGAAATGTTACACTGTCATGTAATGACAGTGTAACATTTATTACAGTTATTACAGTTATTTCAACTCTCAAAAATTGTTGAAATGTATTTCATGAAATATTCTAACACAAACTAAATTTTGGAAGTTAAATGGTTCTTGATGAAGCAGCTTTTACTAGTAATTTTAAGTGACACTTACTTAGTTTTTTAAATTACAGAAACATTCCTAATTAAGTACTTATTACTAGGTATTTCGTTTTCACAGTACAAATAAAAATGTCACTTAAAATTACTAAAGCTACTGGAGCAAGAATGTTTTACATAGTTTAGTTGTACATAGTAGTTGTACATAGTTTTACATAAGATTTCCGATGTAATCAGCCTCAACAATTTTTGAGTTAATTGAACTTATCTGGTTTTAGAGTATAGTCACCTGAAAATAGGAATCGTCAGGTTTTCGTTACCTTAGAATAAGCTGTTTTTATCTACAGAGGGAGAGGGTCCTCTATGGAATGTGCCATGTTGAAGCGGCAGATAGGGCCACCGTAGTTTCTGCTTCATGATTGGTTGAGTCAAGGGGTTTCAGTTGGTTGAAACTTCACTGCTAGATGCCCTTAAATCTTACAAACTGGTCCTTAGAAATGGAAACAAACAAACAAATGGAAGAAAATACATATACTTCGAGTTAAGTTAACACACGTATAGCGTGTATGGCCTGTGTAGACAGTCTTCTAGAATCTGTTCCGTCAGAAGCACGTGCTGTGAATCGTATAGAAGACACTATGGTTGCCGTAAAACTCGACAGAACCGCAAACAACCCAATCTAGAGCCAGTGTTTGGTTTGTCCCTTCTGGGCTTCTGTAGAAACATGGCGCTTAACATAGGCAAAGCCCTCCAGAAGCGGAACCCTGCAGTGGTCTGAAGAGAAAAAACTAGCTAATTTCTAAGTAACGCATTAACACCGATTTCCTATATTCGCAGAGGTGATTATACCACTGAACTGAACCACACATCCACGCCATCGAATCCCTTATCATTCCATTTCTGACAATAGATCCTCTCTTAAATGTTACACAGTGCACCTTGTAAGGTAAATTAACACATTATTATAGAGCAGAACACTGCTCCTGTACTATACTATATGAGTACAACATTGCTAGCAGATTTTATCTGTAGCCACACTCTGGACAGTAGTAATATATACTGGCATATGTCAGCCACTGAGAGGATATCACTCTATATGTACACGCCTGTTTTAGTGTAATGACAGTGGTTCTGATTTGTCATTTGAAGGTGTTGTTGAGGGTCGTCCATTGGCTCTTCCCAGACTTTGCCTTCATGTGGTTGGTGGAGGAGGCCAAGAAGAACATGCCGCTGGAGCTAGACTTCCTTAATGAGGGACACAATGCTGAGAAGGTGACCAAAATGTTGGCCCACTTCCCCTTTCTCAAGGTACACACGTCAAAATGTGACTTTTTTTCCACTTGGCTTTTATAATAACATGCTTATGGAGTTCACAATGGGATTTATTTTTGATGCACACATACTAGTAAACAGCTAGTAATAATGGTCTGTTTGAATGTAAGGCTGTAGCATTTAAAATTGCACTCAGTACAGTTAATAGAGGTCAGACTGTGTGTGACAGCTTCCTCTGTGCTGCCTGTCAGCTCTTCCTGAATTCTAACAGAGTGGGGTTAGCAGAACGCAGCAAATCATATTTCTTTTGCTAGACAGAGTTGGACTTCATGTCCATTATGATTTAATTTCCTGGTGTCCTTTTTCTTAATACGTCTGTTTGAGAACTTTTATTAGCTCTGGTGAATGTGAATTAAACGTCTTTTTCCCAGCTGTCTTTCATTGTTCGATGTTCAAACCCAGAGAGCTCAAGCATTTGTGGTTTTTGTATTCTTTTCTGTCATTCACTTCTCTCTATTCTGCATTTTTGAAATTGTATAAGTTGGCATGTGATAGAGACATAAAACTTGGCAGACTGAAAGATAATTGTGTGCAAATGCCTTCCAATGCATCCAGTAAAACTCCAGTTGGCCAGAGTGGAGTTTGAAATTAACATAATAATTAAAAAGTCAAATTTCCAAACTTTTGCCAAGCCATAACTCCTGCTCTTAGATTTTCTTGAATCTTGGTACTTTTTGATCAGTCAGCATTAAACTTAAGTTTCACTTAAAGAAGTACTGTAGATAGATCAGTGGTGTATATCTCACAACACTGAGTGTAGTCCTTCATTGCCTCATCCTTTGAACACCACAGCCCCTATACTGCCCCTCTGAACTTTTCTTATAGTTTGTATTAGTTTAGTTTAGATATAGAGATATAAGCTCCTCCAGCAACCCGTACACTATTCAAATCACTACTTCAGGCTGCGGCCGTCAGTACACGCTCTGTCATTTGTGAAAATCTTGATATTGATTGCCAAGTCGTATCTATGGTTTGTCCTATTTACAAACAACATTTCCATTGCATAAGAACCTTATGGGATGGTGATGATTCTTTCTGATATTAGGAAGGACCTCGGGTGTTACCAGGGAAACTGAGTCAGAGCTTTTATTCTCTTTTTTTCCCAACAAAACATA